GAGAGAGAGAGAGAGAGAGAGTTTTCACCGAAACTTGCGGGTGGCGTACTACCCCGAACCTTGTACATAAGCATTCTTTGAAGCAGCAAAAGAGAAGAACTGAAGATGTGAGCATGAGAACCGGAAACCAACGGACTGGACGAGCAAAGTGGGGGTTGGGGACTTAGGAATTGGGATTCCTTTTGCTGGAGACGGGGTTGGGGACTTGGGAATTGGGATTCCTTTTGCTGGAGACGGGTTTTGGGAAAGGGGAAAGTGACGGAAGGCTTTTAGCTTTCTAGGAATATTATTTTAATTGTAAGTTTTTTATTATTGTTTTATCTTATTAGTTAAAATCCAAACATTTAAAATAGAAAGTGTGTTGTGTGTGTATACTAATTGTAACTGCATGAAGCCAAAAATTTAATTGCTTACAGTTGGATTCGAACTCACAACCAGCAGAAGGAAAAGATGGACCTTTGCCACTGGCACCTTGGCCACTTTTGTTCTGTTGGTGGCACTTTAAATATATATACTATTATATATATATATATATATATATATATATAGAGAGAGAGAGAGAGAGAGAGTTTTCGCCGAAACTTGCGGGTGGCGTACCACCCCGAACCTTGTACATAAGCGTGCTTTGAAGCAGCAAAAGAGAACGAACTGAAGATGTGAGCGTGAGAACCAGAAGCCAACGGACTGGACGGGCAAAGTGGGGGTTGGGGACTTAGGAATTGGGATTCCTTTTGCTGGAGACGGGGTTGGGGACTTGGGAATTGGGATTCCTTTTGCTGGAGACTAATTTTGGGAAAGGGGAAAGTGGCGGAAGGCTTTTAGATTTCTAGGAATATTATTTTAATTGTAAAGCTTTTTATTATTATTTTATCTTATTAGTTAAAAGCCAAACATTTAAAATAGAAAGTGTGTTGTGTCAGTGTACTAATTGTAACTGAATGAAGCCAAAAATTTAATTGCTTACAGCTGGATTCGAACTCACAACCAGCAGAAGGAAAAGATGGACCTTTACCACTAGAGAGAGTTTTCGCCGAAACTTGCGGGTGGCGTACCACCCCGAACCTTGTACATAAGCGTGCTTTGAAGCAGCAAAAGAGAACGAACTGAAGATGTGAGCGTGAGAACCAGAAGCCAACGGACTGGACGGGCAAAGTGGGGGTTGGGGACTTAGGAATTGGGATTCCTTTTGCTGGAGACGGGGTTGGGGACTTGGGAATTGGGATTCCTTTTGCTGGAGACTAATTTTGGGAAAGGGGAAAGTGGCGGAAGGCTTTTAGATTTCTAGGAATATTATTTTAATTGTAAAGCTTTTTATTATTATTTTATCTTATTAGTTAAAAGCCAAACATTTAAAATAGAAAGTGTGTTGTGTCAGTGTACTAATTGTAACTGAATGAAGCCAAAAATTTAATTGCTTACAGCTGGATTCGAACTCACAACCAGCAGAAGGAAAAGATGGACCTTTGCCACTGGCACCTTGGCCACTTTTGTTCTGTGGGTGCCACTTTAAATATATATACTATTTCTTATATATATATATACATATAGAGAGAGTTTTCGCCGAAGCTTGCGGGTGGTGTACCACCCCGAACCTTGTACATAGATCCGCCCCTGACAGTAGGTTTTCCACACAGAAAATTGTACTGCCATTGTCTGCCATAAAGCTTTTACATCTCACCGTTTCATCTTAGTAGCACTTCCCACTGACATTTCGGTTCAAATGTACAGAACATGAATTGTTACGATTAAGTAGAAAATGTCACTTGATGGAAGAAAACAAGAAAAGTACATGTTGGGTAGCAAAAATGACTTCTTGAAATCTGTTAGGACGGAAATACAGAAGTTTTTGGCATCATACAGGAAGACCCAAATGAATGAACATCGTGCATTGCACTTGCTAAGTATGATTTACCATGATTCCTTCTTTCCATGTTATTTTTTGTCTTTTATTCCCTCAACAGAGCAGACAGCTTCGTGAGCAAGAAAACTTATTATTCTTCTTAATAGAAACCACATTTATCTGTCACTAAGTATTTCCAAAACCATCTGACTCAAATTGTTATTCACTTTTCTTTAACAATTTCTTCAGTGTGCACTTTGTTTTTGCTAAATAATTATATCTATGAGCATTTAATTAAAGCCAAATATTTTTATGAATATGTTTCTTCTCAATTGCCAAGCGTCTTGAATCATATTCATTTTTCTCCTCATCAAATAAGCATATCATATCGCTACTCACAGAATTTTCATAGCAACTTAATGGAGATGCATAACATAATTCCATTAAATGCCACCCGAAATACCTAACTTGTTAAATGCTAGTTATTACTTGGCCCCAACTGAAATGATAAATATAGGTATCTGAATAGTGGATACTAGCAACAAAGCCCACTCAAAACAACTAGCATTAATATATAAGAGATTACCTCCTTTTGGAACCAGTTCTCTCTTTTCTTCTCTATCTCTTTTACTTTTCCCTCCAAGCTCACCTGATATTCATGCTATAAGTCATTCTCGAAAAGTTTATGTAACCCAGGAAATTATCAAGGAGAAAATAAAATATATTGCTAAACAACATGAAAGTAAACAGGTATGAGACAGAAGTCAAAAGCAAGAAAAACATCCACAATCAAGTGAAACAATAGAAGTGCATAAGAATTTACTAACAGTGACTTTTAAATTCTTTACCCTCATCGAATTCAAATTTTCCACTTCATCCACCAACTGACTGATTCTTTCCTCCAAGTGAACCTGCAAGAAAGATGGTATTAGGCTAAAATCTATCCCATCTCAAGGATTCTGTTTTAATCAATACCTAACTTCACCCTCTATCTCCTTTATTGCAATAACCAATCCAAATTACCAAACTTGCAACTTTTAGTTATTTTTTTGCCCCAAATGGAACCAAAAACCAAGAGAAGAGAAAACCAACAGAAAAACAAAAACTGAAAGTATCAGCACAGTGGATATTAGGAACAAATCCCTGTCAAAATTACTAGATAGAAGAGAGATTACCTCCTTCTGGACTCTGTTTTCTATTTCCTTCTCCATCTCTTCTACTTTTTCCTCCAAGCTCACCTGATATTTGTGCTAAAGTTATTCTCGTGAAATTTTTGGAACCAATCAAATTATCAAGGAGAAAATATAACCAAATTTCCACAATACATAAAGTTAAAAAGGTTTGCACAAAAGTCAATAGGATGAAAAGACCCCCACAATCAAGTGAAACAACAGAAGCACATAAAGATCTAATAATACTAAGTTCAGGATTCATTACCCTCTTTGAATTCAACTTCTCCACTTCATTCACCAACTGACTAATTCTTTCCTCAAAGCCAGACTGCAACGAACAAGGTATAGACTGAAACTTACTGCATGCCTCAAAAGAAAACTCAAAATTGGGGGCAGAAGTGGAGAAAAGGATATGATAATCCAATGCTTATATCCAATAAAGGTAAAATGAATAGATATTCTTAGAGAGAGGAAAAGCAACAACTTGATTCTAATATACAAGGAAATGTTCGTTGTCATATGGGGCTATCACCTCCTTTTGAAGCCAGGAATTCTTTTCACTTTGTAATTGAGAATTCTTCATCTCGAACTCAGCCTGAAAATTACAGAGAGCATACTTCTTGTCAAGTAGACCGAAACTTTAAAGACTCTTTATTGCAGTAAAAGGGCGACAATCAAGGAGCCCTAATGATAATAAAAGATAATATTTTAGCGTCACCCTAACCCTAAGTGCATATATCTTTGAACACCTCCACAGAAGTAGAAGATGAAATTGTTAAAAGTTTCAGAACCTCTTTCTGCAGGTAGACATCTTTCTCCATTTGCAGTTGTCTTATCTTTTCTTCTTGGCCGGCCTGCAAAAGTCCAAAAAGTCACTGATTACTCTAGAAGACCAATGACCAAACAAAGAAAGACCTTTTAGGTGGATAATACATTCCAAAAAGCATAACTATTTTCAGTGCAATATGCATCTATGCATGTTTCCCCATTACCTCTTGCCTCTTGAGACTGCTAATTTCTTTTTGAGATTGCATGATTTTCTCCTCAAAGCTAGCCTGAAGATTGCAGAAGAGCGTAAAACTCAAAGTAGATAGAATAAACAGGAAAAGGGATTAGCAACACAGCAATGATTTGCAACCTCTGTACAATTTGTTGCATGATACTTCCTCTTCCCCTAGTCCTTTTTCGCTCATCAAGGGTCAATTGACCAGTATTCAAAATTTAAGTGGACTAGAATAATTCAATTTTGAAAATGTAAATGCATAATTCGAACAACACATAAAAAGTACTACGCAGTTGTTCCAATATTTGAGTCACGAAAAGATACACTTAAATTTTAGTCAAAAATCAATTGTTTTCCTCTGGAATGGAAAGGGGTGCCCATTTTGGGACAGGGGCAGTTCAAAAATACCTCTTTATGTCTATGATTGTTATTTTCAGTCTGTAGTTGTTTAATCCTCTCTTCAAGGTTAGACTGCAGATCAAGGCAAATCCATAATGTTAGAAGAAGGAAAGAATATCTTAAAACTGATTAAGCACCAAACTTTGGCCTAAAAATGAATTAGCAAGTTACAGGTTCTATGAAGCAAAATTTGTACGTAGAGTTTTTGTTACCTCCTTCAGTAAATTGGCATCTTTTTCCTTTCCTAATTGTTTCAGTTTCTCCTCAGAAATAGCCTGTAAAACAGCAGTAAGTATTAGATGCTTCAATTATAATGTAGATAGGAAATATATATGGCGATTTTATATGAATGTAAACTCAGGTAAAGACTACCCAAGTAAAAGATTTTACAGCTTGCACCTCTTTTTGCATATGTGCATCCTTGTCTCTCTGTAATTGTTTAATTTTCTCTTGAGAAGTGGGCTGTCCATAAAATAGAGAAAATAATTACTTGTCATGAGTTAAATAAATATAAAGATATAGAGAAGGAGCAGAGAGAGATAGAGAATACAGTTATCATCAAATAATGAGCCCATAACTAAAAACAGTTCAAAACACTGCCCAAAAAGGAGGCCTTAACTCACCTCTGTATCCATCCTACTGTGTTTCTCATTTTCTGCTAAAGATGACTGTAAAAGCAAGAGTAACAAAAAGAGAACATATCAGAAAGTATCAAGGACCCAATACGTATAGGAAGTAACAAAAAATGAACAATACAAAGGAACAACAAACAAGTAAGCAAGCAAGCAAAATCCAGAAGTGGACTCCAATCAGAGCAGCCAGCAAATGGAAATTGTGTAGTGCTTTGTAGCCCC